AGTTTCATGTCACTTGCAAATTCTGAAATTGTGCCCTGTGCACCAGATTCCAGGATATTAGCATAAAGTTCATGAAGAGCATCCAGATGTCTGGGGATTTCCATTACAGACTCTTATCCATAATGAAAAACAATCATTCAATGCTACTTTTAATTTCCTGTCGCACAGCTCATGTTGTGTCCATGTTGCTAATGCTCCTTTCATTCTCTGCTGTTTCCTTCCATTCCTTGAACACTCCAAAGATTTCTGCACCTTACGAATTCTGATATCTTGATAATCACTGCTTTTAATCTCTTCAATGCTGTATCATCAGATGCCTAGACCCCGAACTCTGGGGCTCCCTAAACCTCTCCCATCTGAGACACTACTAAAAGCAGACTTCTTTGACCATGTCTTAGTCATCCAATCTATCTCCTTATGTGACGTAATAACGTAAAACACTCACATGAACCATCTTGGAATGTTTTATCGTTTTAAAAGTGCTGCATATATTAAAGTTGATATTGTCAAGTAATTAATTCAAAGAATTTATTCCATGTGCTCCAACTTTTCACACAAGTCTGTTGTGCAGCACTTTACCAAATGTCTTTTGGGAATCCGTATACAACACATCAATAACATTATCACCGTCAATTCTTCCTGTTACCTCTTTAAAACCTCCAGCCAGTTAGTTAAACATAATTTGCACTAAACAAGTTTGAAATAACTCAATGAAGGCCGATATCCTGTCACCAAGTCATCCTTTACTTACAAATACATCATACATGACATTGACCCAGCCAGCTTAGAGCCAGCTTCTAGAGTGAACAGAATCCCTGGCACTCCTGTTTATATCTGTCAGTCAGGGCTCCCTGATTGGACCAAGTTAACAGCCCCACTTAGGGAACTCACTTTTAGGGAACTCACTTTCTGCGAGATCTGCCTGGTTGACTTTGTTACAATTACTAAAATCCTTAGTGGCTTTCCTTATTGAATTTGCATTTGCTCAGATGATTATTAATTTTATCCAGAATTTGTTTCCAAAACCTCCCTCATCAGTGAGGTTAAATTTACTAATCTATACTTGCAGGACTTGCCTTTACAAGCTTTTTTTTTGTAACGTTTGCCAAAATATGCCAAAATATGTCAGTGCCAGGACACAAACCTGTTTGACTCCTAAAGTGACATTTGCTCTGTCAAAGCTGACTTTAATGCAATGAGAAATGAAGATCACATTGAGCAGCTTTAGCCAGGAGCCAATTTTCTCCAGCTGTTGAAATAGTTCATCTCTCTTCACCTGAGTGAATGCCTGAAGGCAACATATAGTGGTCTTCTTCCTTCATGACAATTCTTTTGCAGTTCCAGACTGAGAAGATCATGCCGATTGAAAACCTTCTGGTTCTGAAACCACACTTTCATTCAGGAGAGTTGCATTCAGTCAGAATCTGCAATCTGACAAAGGCAACACAGACAAATATTTTTCCTGTGATGCTTGCAATTGTTGTTGCAATCACCGCAGCTGTTTTTGTTCTTGTATATAGGCTGAGGAACTGTGCCGTCTCTCCAGCACAAGTTTCTCATCCTTGATGAGTTCAGGCAGTGTAACATCAGCTGCTAGATCTCTGCCCATACCTAATGAATTAATAGCTTTGCTAAGCTCCCCCACTGTGCATTCTTCATCCAGCTCTGCCATGACAGGCAGGCTTTCTACGCAGGTGATGATGACCTCCTCTATCATTTCTTGCAGTAGAGCTGCTTCTTTTGCTGAGGGGACTGTTGCTTTTTTGAAACTTTCATTCATGCCCGTGACTTCCCCTGTGCCAAAGGACACTGGAAAGTTCTGACTGAGTTCTAAGCGGGTAGTCACGGCCTCTCAGTCACCAAACCACATTAGGAAAAGTCAAAACCATGACCAAAACCTTGGCCAAAGAGTTTCAGAAGAGAATTTCAGAGCTAAGGGTCTGGGGAACTAAGCAGAGCCAGCGGGCCAGGGTAATTACAACCAGAAGTTAAAATAAAAAGTGGCAGAGAAATTCAGCAGATCAGGTTGCACCTAAGGTGCAGACACAAGCTGATGTTTCAGGCATGTTAGGAGGTCAGAACTTGAGGTGCACATAAGTTTTGGGGATAGAATAGAGGCTGTGAAAAGTTGCAGAAATTGAGAGGGGGAAAGCAATGGAAGGACTTCAAGATAACAATAATAAAGTTAAAACTGAGGTGTAGCCGGATGGGAATCAATATAGATTGGGAATCATGGGATGAATAGTGAATGGAACTAGGTGTCTGTTCACATATGGAGTCTCTTAGAATGCCTAACTGGCTTTAGACTGTGGGGAATCTTAATCCTATCTGCAACCATGACTTGCATTGCTAAACAGAAAATCATAATCCTTCCAGTTCTGAAACCATGCTTCAATTCAGGAGGGATGCATTCAGTCAGAAACTGCTAATTGACAAAAGCAACACAGCCAAATACTTTGTTCTTATGTTGGGTTACAATCTCAGCATTGTATATAGGCTGAGAAGAGAGGATTAGAAGGTTGAGTAATAAGGAGAGGCTGGATAGGCTGGGACTTTTCTCCCTGGAGCATCAGAGGCTGAGGGGTGACATTATAGAGGTTTATAAAATCATGAGGGGAGTTGATAAGGTGAATAGCCAAGGTCTTTTTCCAAGTGTAGGGGAATCCAAAACTCGAGGACATTGATTTAAAGTGAAAGGGGAAAATTTAAAAGGGCAACTTTATCACAGATCAGAGTGGTGCATGTATGGAATGAGCTGCCAGAGGAAGCGATAGAGCCAAAGACAATTATAACATACATAAGACCTTTGGACATATACATGAATAGGAAAGGTTTAGAGGGATATGGGCCAAACACAGGCAAATGCAACCAGTTCAGTTTAGGATACCTGGTGGGTATGGACAAGTTGGTCTGTTTTTATGTTGTATGACTCTATGATTCTGTATCTAGTGCAAAGAACAGAAAACTGGAACAACTATTGTATATGAAAATTATGAAAGAATCCACTATTTCATTCAGAATAGTACCTTCAGGAACTATCTAAGACTAACCAAAATAGTTTGGGAATTTGGGAATGGTTACTAGTGCTCAGTTTTGACAGATCATGGTTTCTTTGCATTTCTTACAAGTTTATATGACATGATATCTTTCATCAAATGCTAATTATTGCACTGAAATCAAAGAAAATCTTCCAGATTATAATTATTATTTTTATTTCTGTAAAGAATTAGCACCACAAGAATGAAATTAATAATAATTGTTAAGCATAGCACCAAAGGTAAGTTTGCAAAAAAATCTTTAAAACTGCATCAAATGCATCCAGAACAGTAATGCCAAAAAAGATTAGAGGTAACATTGCAAAATAGCAAAAGATTATGCAACAAATCTCATGTTCTGGCTCGGCATCATTTGAAAATTAGTTTTTGTTTAGACCATTTGTTGCATTTAAATGTGTCCCACTGGCCCTTATTGTGTGCTGAGAGTCTTATGTAATTTATAACCCAGGAGAAATAAAAACAGGCAGTGGTGAACTTTACAGCCCCATGCCAGTGTTGAAGGTCTGCATCTTTGTCAGTCAGTTTTGCTATCAACTAGGAAAGAGGCACCTTCTTTGGGATGGTCCTCAGTAGCCTCCCCAGCCTCTCTGATTCGTCTCTATTCTCCACCACACTGGGGTCTCCCAGCCATGCCTACCCAAATCCCCCAGGGTGTACTACAGGTTGAGGGAATGGAATCGGCCCTCCTATACAATCCACTCTTAGAATATGGGTGGCATGGTGGCACAACATCAGGGGCCTGGGTTTGATTCCAGCCTGGGTTGACTGTTTGTGTGCATGTTCTCCCCGTTTCTGCTGGGTGCTCTGGTTTCCTCCCACAGGCCAAAGATGTGCAGGTCAGTGGATTTGCCATCCTATATTGCCCTGTGGTGTCCAGGGATAAGGAGGTAGGTGGATTAGCCATGGGAAATGCAGGGTTCCTGGGATTGGATAGGGGTTTGGATCGGAAGCTTTTTGGAGGGTTGGTGCAGACTCGATGGGCTAAATGGCATCTTTCTGTATTGTCGGGATCCTATGATTCTAATATTGGGAAAATCTAACAGTTTGGGACAGGGCAACAGTCTGGGCCGATGACTTATTGTCAGAACATTTTGTTTATATCTTTCTGAACTTTTGTTCTGAATGAGACGCCTTTGACCTCTCTGTACAGAGGCTGCCTTTCCTGTTGAGCACTTCCAGTTTACTTTTTACTTCAGGGTTCCAGCATCTGCAGTATTTCGATATTGCATAGTATGATGGTATCATTGGATCACATGACAAGTCTATTAGAATTTTTGTTAAATAAGGAAAAGTACATTGTTTCAGTTAACAAGAAAGAATCCATACCATGTAGACTATATAATGCTGACAGAGATTTGACTTTTAGCTCACCGTTTGTTGTGTGTTGCATATATAGTCTGCACACTTATCTTGGATATCTTTAGATAGCAACAAGTTTAGCGTAAGCTAGACATCAGAAAGCACGAATATTGCTACGACCCCAAATGTTAAATTGCAAATGATTTAATTGTCAGTCATTTCCAAATTGTGCATCACTGTTAGAATCTTACAGTTTCAATCAAATAATCTCTTCAGAAAGCTTTTCTTCATTGGTGTCCTTTTCAGAGTGGCTGGCGATTTCTTACGCGGAGATTTAATTGGTGTTCGCTTTATCTGTTTCTTTTGAGGCGTTTGAATTCCTCTATCGATGTAATGCTCATTGCAAAAATACTTCGTGTTTTCTTGAGAAAACTGAATCAGCTGCGATTCTGCAAGATTCATGCACTGGGCATGTACCCAGTGTCCATCATCACCTCCACTAGAGCAGAAAATCATTGCAGGTTTATTTAATTCTGTGGAGTAATAAGGCTCCCAGAGGTTGACGTTCACATTACACGTGGAGCTGCATTTAATCCAATAACCTTCCTCATCAGCATTATCTCGGTTCTCTGCATTATCAGAACCCTCGCCCTCTACTTCAAAGTTAAATTCTTCTGAATCTTCAAAAGTGCTGCATTCTTCTCGATCAGTAAAGGATTCCTGACTGCAAGGAATTTGACTTTCTTCGTCTAATTGCCCAAATTTTGCTATGTAGAAGAAGTTTGCCTCGCCTGCATCTTGTTTGCTTTCTCCAGGAATGCCGATTAACACTGCATTACTTCCCATGTTGCTACCAAACCAGGTTTTGCTTGCTTTAATATCAGTGGTCCATGCTGGGGGCTCCTTTTCCAAAATCTGAATGTTGTCGTTCTCCACAGTGATGGTGTTGCAAATCATTCGCTTCGTGATCTCTGACTCGTAGCCACCCACAATTATGAATTCATCTTTTCCAGCTGGGGTCACAATTGCACTCGACACAGAGATGCCACCTTGCAGTATTGTGCACTGTACGCTTGGAGAAGTCCCTAATAAATCAACCTTCAGACAAAGCAACCTTGCAGGGCGACAATTAGTTTCAATTGAATGACCACCTAATATGTAGACTCTGTCAATTTTTGCAATGGCGATATGAAATGAAAACCCATCTTCTACTTCGGGAAGTATGTGGGATGTGCAATGGCCGGTGTTTATATCAATCAGAAAAGCTTCCGGCAAACAATCAACTACACTGTTCCAGTTTTCCGTGGTTCTTTGCCCTGGGGGCCGGAAACATCTACCCCCAAACAAGACACACAACATTTGCCCCTTGCACTGAACCACATTGATGGTGTGACCATATCTTCCTTGGGGAACGTCTCCTTGAAGATTTTTTTCAATGCAACGAAGCGATGTTCTCCTGTTGCCAGTGCTGCTGTAAACCATCATTAAATAAAGTGAATTAGTCAAGTCATTATTTGGATCTCTCCCACCATGGATGAAATATAAAGGGCTCTTAGGTTCTGAGGGATCTGAGTAATGTGTTATTGCAGGACAACGCAGAGGGGGAAGGTAGCAGGAGTCAGGTGAAAATGAAACCGCTTTCAGTTTGAAATTATGGCCTTTGAGATGAAGAAGAAAAACTCCAGTGCTGCACGATCTTTTTGGCCACCCTTTCTGACCAAAAAGGAAGACCTCCCCGTTAAAATTGAATAAAGAAAAGCCTGGGTAGATGAGTCCAGTTTTGCTACTCTCTGAAACCATTTGCAGAGACATTGTAGCGGTGAAAAGCTGACAGTATCTATGGAAGAAAAGAAACATAAAATGATGTTAGAATTAAATATTTATAACAAAATTAATTATTATGGATTCTAACCATTCGGCAGATTTTATTAAGTGCAAAAATGCCGGTTTTGGCTGCAATCTGTGTGATAAATCAACAATTAAAAAAGACTCACTTTATAGTTCAAAATTCAATTACTGTAGGGTATAAAATTATTTTATGTTATTAAATGAGGAAAATATTGTACTGCATTGATTTTTTTTTGTTTAAATAAATCAATTATTTGTCAAGCACAAAGTGTAATTACTTCCAACCGTATTACTGCAATTCAGTTTCAATAAATCTTCATTCAGCAAACTTAGTTTCTTTCCAATTCCAGTTCAGGACATGAAATCTTCAAATAACCGAATCTTTTTATCATTCCTCTATCTTAGGAACATAAGTGGGGGGAGTCCGGAGGTGGAACAGTGTATGATTAAGATTTATATTATTATTTGGGGACTTGAGTTCTAAAGTAGATGTAAATGGGTTTTTCATTTTTAGATCTGTAAGGGTTAGAAACCCATAGTTTTTGCAGTGGATCAAATAGATTTTCTAATAAATCCTAAGACATAAGCTAAATAACTAGATAAGCTAACGTTTCGGGTCCGGTGACCCTTCCTCAGAACTCAAAACTGAAATGTTAACTCTGTTTTTTCCTCCACAGATGCTGCCAGACCAGAGATTTTCCAGCAACTTTGTTTTTGTTCCTGATTTACAGCATCCGCAGTTCTTTTGGTTTTTAACTAGATAAGCTACCTGGTAAGATAATTGCTGAGGTGATTATTGAATTCAGGTTTTAGAATCTACAAAGCCAGAAGCAGGATTGTTCAGAAGAAATGCAGTCTCGGAATAGTCAAAGTCAGACTAAAGTCAGTGTGTTAACCTTATCATGTATCTTGAAGGGAAATAAAGAGAATCACATCTGGTGAATGTGCAAAATGTTGCCAAAAGGAAATGCATGTGACCTTGTCAGTTGAATGAGAAATCAGAGAGTGAAATTAGGAGTGAGACGTCACTAATGTTGAGTATCTGTAAAGGATATTTCTGGGAGAAAAAGAATGAATCTTTATTTTTGTTGTTTGTGATAAGGACTGTAAAAATTGTTAATCACACAAATATCACAGTGAATTAACGCATTGTCAGCAAAATAGCTTTGAATATGATGTAGTCATTGGAAATGGCAGCAGACCAGAGGGAAGAAACAGTTTAACACTTGGAAATGATCATACTAATCGTACTGGAGCATTGTTCTGAAATGTATAAAACAAGTTGGACTGGTGTGTGCCATTTGCAAGTATTACTAGATTTTTCTTTGGGTAATTTCACCCTTCAGGCCTGTTCCATCCTTCAATAATATCATGGCTGATCTGGTTGTGGTCTCAGGTCCACTTTTTATCTGCATCCAATACCTTTGAGTCCCTTGTCTATCAAAAGTCTATCCAAATCAGACTTGAACAAAGACCCAGCTTCCACTACATAAGATTTAGGAGCAGAAGTAGACTATTAGTACAGGTTAATTCATGTCTCTAATACCTTCTATGTTCCAAATATTTAATACGAACATACAGCTCCTACACATCGGCCTAAATATTCATTGCAGAATACATGTCATTATTGATGCAAAAAAATCAGAAGGGCCAGAAAGTACAGATTTATGGTAATTGGCAAACTTGGTGATAATGTGAGAAATCTTTGTTTATGTAGGGAGGTAATTTGGAATCCATTGCCTGAAAGAGAAATGAAAACAATTTGATCAGTAGCATTGAATAACTACAGCAGAATGAGAAAAACCTGATGAGTTTTTTGAGGATGATACAAGCAAAGTGGTTAAGGAAAACCAGATCCTCCTTTGATAAATGGCTGTTCCAAAGGATGGAGAACTCCAAGCATCACAACCCTCTTTCCAAAATTAGAGGAAGGATTAACCCGGCAGTCAGTTTATTGTCAGCAACAGAGAAGCATTTAAAAACAAAATCCACAAGTAAAATTAACAGTGTCTTAGACAAGTGAAGACCAATTAAGGGAGAGCTGGCAGAGAGTCATAAAGGAGAAATCCTGTTTGACTAATTGTACTGAGGTCTTGATGAAGTTTTGGAGACAGACTGGATGAAAAAAGTTTGTCGATGTGTATATGGATTTCCAAAAGGTGTTTGATAAAGGACAACAAAGTAGCAAAATTGAAGTCCAGTGGGGACAAACAAGGCAGTAGCATCATGGTTACAAATGCAGAGTGATGCAGTGAAAGGCTGTTTTCATATTGCTATGGAATTCCCCAGGGTTCAATACTGTGTGGGCAAATCTGGCAAAGGATCTCCAGTCTCCAGTCTCCCAACCTCGTCTACCATGGTGATTCTTTCCTGCAGCCATTTTCCACTGGCCTGTCTCCATCGGTCAATTTATAGGTCTTAATCTCTGACCGATATACCATCAATGCATCCAGGATTCTGAATGATGTGACCCGAATACAATTTATCTAACCTTTTCCACACTAACACCTGTTATGATCCTAGCTGATGGTCATATTAGACAATTCAGAAAGGAAGTCTGACTTGTGGCGGTCATTCACTGAACATAATCACACAAGATTGCCAATGTAATTTTAACATCATAATATTTTATTGCAGCAGAAAGAAAAAAGAGCAATAGATTTATTTTCAGGAGCGCTGCTAAGAGTAAAATAATCAACATATTATAGTCTGCATCATCTGATTATTCACTATTTAGTGTAATCTCTTTATAACACCTTCCTCTTGATTCCGGAACCAATATTCTGTGGCTATATTGCTTCGGGAATTCGATTCCAGGGGGACCCGCCCGCAGGCTTTGTGGGATTTGTAGTTCTCAGACCGCGCCCACCTAGACTACATGTCCCAGCATTCCCCGCACCGTCGGTGTTGCCTGGCGACAGGAGCAGACAGGTAGGACCTTTGGAGATCGCTGCAAAACTCGTTAAGATTATAACAACAAGCTGCGTTTAACAGCCGCCTGAATCCTCGTCATCAATAAATAATACACAGTACAAATGGTGGTGGGGGAAGAGTTAAAGATCATTCATCGTGAGGGGTCTGGGTCCTATGTCTTGGGGGGTGATCTCAACACTGGGGGAGGTGGGGTGGTCTGTCCACACTGCATGTCTGTTTTTGTGTCTGTCTGTCTGTGTGTGTGTGTGTTGGGGTGGGGGGGAGGTAGTTTCGATGGTCTCTCTGCTCTGGGTGGGAAGTTGGTGTGGGCTTTCTACACTGTGTGGTTGTAGGAGAGGGGGTGATCTTTCTATGCTATGGGGGGGGGTGCAATGGTGTCTCTACACTGTGTGTGTATGTGTTGGGGTGTCCACACATTGTATTTGGCTGGGTGCTGGTGTGGGGGTGGGGGTGGGGGTTTATCAGTCCACTTGTGAGTTTTAAGTGGTTGCTATCATCTAGGTACCGCTGTGGATTTTTGATTTATACTGAACAGAAGGATGCCATATGGAGAATTCTGCCAGTTGTGCCTTTTTGAAAGAGTATTCCATTCAGTTTCAGCTCTTGGCTGTTTACTGTATGATTTTATTTCTTTCAATTACTGATTTATCTCCCTTTAACCATTGAAACCATTACCTCTTTATTGTTCTGGCAGACCATCCATTTTTCTGGGTTAAATTTCATCCGACATCAATCCATTCTGTTTGCTAATCCGTCTTTATCTCCTAAAGTCATACAAATCATTCCAAAGCTAACCAGGCTTTCTATCTTAATGTCTGTAAGTTGATATTACGTTGTTAAATAACATATGGCTGTAATACATATATAGACCAGTGCAAAGTGCTCTAAAGTTCTTGACCATTAATATGATTTTAATGCCATGTACCTTAATCTTATAAACAGAACTCTCTTGTGTAATGGTTTACCAAATTGCTTTTGAGAATCCACTTGTACTGCAATTCCTGTCACTATACACTGCAATATTTCCTCAAGCACTTGATGCAATTTGTCAGCTATGACCTGCCTTTTATAGATTTCTCACTCTGTGATGATATTAAGTTGATTTGGTTTCATGGCTGGTAGAAACCTACCCCATCTACATGTGAGTTATATTGCAAAAGGAAAGAAGGATTTACATTTATCCAATTTGTACATTTACAGCATTTTACAAAGCAGTTTTGTTGTGAGCATTTCATTTTCTCTTTGAATTCTAATGCTGCTGTTTTTCAGTTTGGTTCACGTGGAGATCTTGGAAAGAAATGCTTTGCAAAAGCTTGTGAAGTGAATGTAAGTTTTTCTCCTGAATTGCAGTTCATTGAATATGGCCTGAGAGGTACTTGTTGCAAAAAGAAATGGTGTTAACCACTGTGCCACCTGGACAGCTAAGTAATCTAGTTTTTACCTTTTTGTTAGTGTTGTGAAACCATTCTGTTAAAGAATCTGGTTTGCTATAAGAAACCAACATTGTGGCACGTGTTCTTATAGTTTGTGCAATAAATCTGACAATACTGTGCTATCATTTCCAAAATTGATCTGAAAAATTGATTTTTAATATGAAATTTTGATTGAAATTCTCCAATTTTACAATAAGTATTTCTACTGAACTGTAATCAGCATATTAAATAATTGGAATTTAACCTTTTATAGTAACTAATCACTCTCAAGGTGGTCACCCTTGGCCCTGAACAGTGTCCAATTCACCTCAGATTGCCGTGCAGCTACAATACAGTAATAACATGAGTGCTGTTTGCCACTAAAATTATGCCGAAAAGATGATTTGTCTATCACAGATGGATAATGTGGTATATGCATTTCGGTTTAGCTGTGATGCCAGGTATGTAGGTGGTACATCCCAAAGACTAGTGGATCAAATCAAATAGCACGTCTCTTTGGCTGCTCACAACAAGCAAGGTAACTGGCTATCCACAGCCAGCCTGTACTTGCAAAACCCACAGCATAAGATTAGATGCGATTCTAAAATATGATACTTGCTGGATAATCCTGAATGTGCAACAGATTAGGCTGACAGCCAATTTATGATAGTTCAGTATGGCACACTTGTATGTACTGGAAACTTATTACATGGAGGCCTATTCTTTGCAGCTAGGAAAGACATGTATATGCACTGTATCTGTTTCAGCCATTTGTCGATTAATTTCTAAGAGCAGTGTCCTGACCAATCATAGTCAACCTGCATAGTTTGAAACTTAATCAAACCTATCTGTTAACTATCAATTAGCATTATTGGGTATATTATGATTGGCAACATCTCTATCAATCAGAATACACTGGCCAACCAATCAGCAATTTGCTTTTCTGCAGCATAAATGTTGGTTTTGCCATTGAATTGGCATTTTTGCAAAATGTCCTGATGAATCCAGTCCAAAAGCTTTGACAAAAGAAGCCTTTTTCAACAATAGCAAAAAAAATGCCAATTCTTAAGAGTGCATAAGAAGTAGGAGCAGAAGTAGGCCATTCAGCTCTTCAAGCCTGCTTGGCCATTTGATAAGATCTTCTATTTCAATACTACTTTCCTGCATTGTCCCATATCCTTTCTATGTAGAAATCAATTGATTTTCACCTTGAATGTACTTAACATCTGATCATCCACAGCCTTCCGGGACTGAGAATTCCAAAGATTGCTCCATGAGTGAAGAAATTCTTCCTCATTTCAGTCCTGAATGATCTGTTCCTTACTAGGGGCTGTACGCCCAAATCTAGACTCCCTAGCAAGAGAAACATCCTACCTCATCTATCTTGTCAATCTCCATAAAATGTATGTTTGAATGAGATCACCTCTGATTCCTCTAATTTCCAGAAAATAAAGTCTGAGAATATTTAATCTTTCCTCATAAGACAATGCCTCCACTTCCAGAATTAGTTTGATGAACGTTTGTTGTACTTGTTCTTTGGTATTAATTTGAAAAGCAATTGATGAGGTAGTCTACAGGATGTCTTTTTTACAAACCTACAGGGCAAAAAAGGTACTTTGGCACTTATTTTTATTAGTCGTGTCTTTACCAGATTGTCAGTCTTGGCTCAGCCAAGCTGTAATCCTAGGAATATAGGAGCAGGATCAAGCCATTCAGACATCTGAGCCTGCACAGCCTTTTAATGAGATCGCGACTGTGGTCTCATCTCTACTTTCATGTCTGACCCCATAACCCTCGTCTATCGAAAATCTATTGAACCCAGCCTGAACTAAATTCAGTGACCGAGGCTCCACTGCTTTTTAGAGAAAAGAATTCCGCAGACCATCTGAGAGAAGGAAAAAGACATTTGCCTTCTCTCCCTCTTAAAGGGGAGAGCTCTTGTTTGTGATGTCTCTCCAATTTTCCCACAATTCTTTGGAACAAAGTTGTAGGTTCGACTCTCATTCCAAAGACTTGAGCGCATAACCTAGGCTGGCACTCTGGTGTAGAACAGAGGGAATACTTTTTTGTTGGAATTGCTGTCTTTCAGATGATATTTTCAAGGGTAAAGTGAATGTGAACAATCAGTGCTGTCATTTGAAGAGGGACAGCTCATTAAAACCATAAAATGTAGAAGCAAAAGTAGGCCATCAACTCTCGTCTGCCATTCAGTGAAGTCGTGGCTAATGTCAACTCCACTTTCCTGCTTTTTCTCCATGATCTTTGATTCCCTTACTGAATAAAAATCTGCTGTGCCTCAGCCTCGAATATAGTTTATGACGCAGCCTTTACAGCCCTCCAGAGATTCACTGCCCACTGAGAGAATAAAATACTCCTCATTTTTGTCTTATAAGTTTGACCTGTTACTGTGAGATTACGGTGTTTGGCTCTAGACTATCCCACAAGGAGAAAAAAGTCGCTCCACGTCTACCCTGTCAAGTCCCCTATGAATCTTATATTTTCCCAATAAGGTCACCTCTCATTCTTCTAAACTTCAGTGAAGACCTAATCTACACAAGCTTCCCTCATAAGAAAATCTTTTCACGCATGGAATCAGACTGATGAACCTTTTCTGGACTTTCTGCATTGCCAGTATATCTTTCCTGAGATACAGTATTTTACATGTGGTCTAATTAGTTTTAGCAAGATCTTTCACTATCTTTATACTCCATCCACTTAGAAATGAAGGTCCACATTGCATTTGCCTTCCTACTAGCTGCTGAACTTGTATATTGTACACAAATGATTTGGAGGAGAATTTAGGTGGCCTAATTATTAAGTTTGTGGACGACACAAAGTTTGGGGGAGCTGCAGATAGTGAGGATTGTCAGAGAATACAGCAGGATATAAATAGGCTAGAGACTTGGTCAAAGAAGTGGCAGATGAAGCTTAATCCAGACAAATACAAAGTGATGCATTTTGGAAGATCTAACACAGGAAGGCTTGGTTCTACATAATTGTATTTTGGCTTTTAGCAAAGTTGATTTAATACAACTGCTGTAATATAATTGTACTAAATGATATTTGACAGTGGTGTTATTCCAAAACCAAGTGAACTTAAAACTTTTCTTTTGAATTTCAACAGTACTACCCACTAGTACATTTACTGTTGGTTCTGAATGTTGTGACTGAACAGACTGCAATGTAGGGACAGCGTGTAGAGAAATATCTTTATTTTTCTCCCCTTTTCTCCCCCTTGGTCACTGGTGACCAAGGCAGTTCTGGTATTGAGTAATATTTCCTTTACACCAGGGTATAAGCTAAAATTTAACATTTTTGGCATAATTTATGCTCATAGTCGTCTTTGCCCCACATTTACAACTAGTTTGGTTTTTGTGTGTAGAGTAGCCCTTGGTCATTCTAAGAATGGAAATCATTTCGAATTTTGCATCTTTTCTGAAATACAAAACTAACCAATATCTTGGAACATAAGACATTGACCAGCCATTTGGCCCTTAGGGCCTGCTCTGCCATTCAATAAGATCATGTTTGACCTGTTTGTGGTCTCCTCTCCAGAGCTTCCTTTCTGCCATGCATAATATTTGACTCTTCTCTATCAAAAAATCTATGTTACTCAACCTTGAATACATTCAATGGCACAGCCTCCACTGCTGTCTGGAAAAGAGAATTTCACATACTAACAACCCTCTGAATGAGAACATTTTTCCTCCTCTTCGTTAAAAAAGGGAGACTTTTTTTATTAAATGAAAGTAAAACAATAAATAAGCCAGGTGAACCTTCTTCACATTGTTTCTAACACAATTACAATTTTTTTTCAAATAAAGAGACCAAAATTGTACACAGTAAACCAGATGAAGTTTCATCAGCTACTTTATATAGTTGCAATAAAATTTTTAATTTTTTAATATTCCATTCCCCTTGCAATAAACAACAACATTCCATGTGCCTCCCACAAACTGCTAACTGCCCCTATCTCGTTTTTAAATTGCATTCTTCACATAATATAAACAGAATATAACTTGTGGTCTGTCCTTCCCTGATCCTCATCTTTTTTCATTGTTTTCTCCTTCTCCGAGATTGCGACAGTTTCAACCGCCCTGTGGTGCCTCACCCGTTTGAGCATTCTTCATGTATGAGGCCAGCCTTCATTGTGGATTCGCCTCACATCTATCTTCAAATTTCAAACTTGACAGGGTTCAAACAACTACAGTCACCATTTTAATGGGATTTGGATTTAAAGTCTGAGACAATTACAATTGTAAATGAGCTGGTTGATCTATTTGGAGAGTTAGCACCCAGACTCTGACCCAGCAGGTTTAAGGGTAACTAAATTACATGATGCTGTTTTATAAAGTGAACAATTTAGACAAAAATCTACCAGAAGATTAAACTTAATACAAATTTGATTCTTTGTTTAAATTTAATTATGACAATTTGGGTTTAAGAAGTGGTTGCTTGTAATTGTCTATAGTTAATGTTACATTTATCTTTTTTCCTGTCCTTTTGAGCAAAATGTATTTCAAGTTATTTTAGCTTCATACAATGAAATAACAGCTGTGAAAGTGTAGGTTTTTAATTACTGTGTTTTCTGATTCTGGCTTTTCTTTAAACAATACTTGAGTACATTAGCCAATAGCTTTTTCTATCTCTGATCCACTTTGCTTAATGCCGTACTATTCTTTGAATGCTGAAGTTGCACTTGATTAATATTAATACATCATTTTTATGTTAGTTTAGGTTGGCAACCTTCATTGTTCTTATAAATGTAGAAGCAAGGTGAGTAGAGCACAAATATAACAATCAGATTTGGTCACCTCTATGATGACATGCCAGTTTTTGCCCTATTGGATTTTCTGGACTGTGCCTATAAATAATATGGTAATTACATTAGTGTTCTAACTTTTAAACTTGTTT